TGCGGAACCACCCGAGCTCCTCCCTCACCATCGCCATCCTCATCCATGGCGAAATCCTCTCCGCCCGCCTCATGGAGGTCCAGCACGTCCGCCATCTTGCCCGCCGCCGCCGAACCGGAAGCGGCGCTTGATTGGACGGGGCGAAAAGGCAGGAAACGGAAGTGACGCCATATTGGAAAGGGCACAAGGCTATGGGGCTGTGCCGCCATGATGGGGAATGGCGGAAGTGGTCGATGCGCCATGTTGGGGAAGGGAAGGGCGGAAGTGGCCGTGACGCCATGTTGAGGAAACGAAGGGCGGAAGTGGTCGTGACGCCATGTTGGGAAAGGGAATGGCGGAAGTGGTCGTGACGCCATGTTGGGAAGGACTATATTGACTCCCTTCCCACTCCCAAATCCAACTGGGAATACTGGGAATACTGGGAATACCGAGGGGGGGGGCTGGAATCACTCCCAGGGGTGGTTCAAAGTGGAGTTTGGGCCCGCAGAGAAGTAGAAACACCAAAAATTCCCCCAAATCGCTGGTTTTATTGTACAAAATCCACCCCTGGAATTTCCCCTCTGGATTTTTCCAAAGCCTCAAGGAGGAGAACAATCCTTCTTCTTTGCCAGGTTGGGATAACCTGGATTTGCTCCTTTTAGCACCTTCTAAGTTGGATCTAGACACTTCAAACCAACTCCCAACAGTGATGGAATATCCCAAATATCCCCTTTTCTTTTTTTTCCCTATTTTTTTTCCTTTTCCACCAGGATGGAAACTCCTAAATCCTTCTGGATCCATTTCCAGGCACAACAGGAAGGCACTGGGAAATGCTGGGAGAGAATTCCTTGCCTTGAGGACTAAGGAGAAGAAAACCATGGGATAAACTCCATATTCTTCCCAAAGGCAATTCCAGGCCTGGATTTTTCCAAGCTCTATGGAAAAACCCAATCCCACCCCTCTCCCCCCCTTTCTAATCCCTTTTTTTTTTTCCAAGGATATCCAAGGCTAGTAAGTGCTGTGGAAAGTATCAAAAAATAGCTAAAACTCCCTCCAAAAATTGGTGGTTTGGGATGTGGATATAAAACTGGGATACACATGGATTATTGCTGGAATATCTCCTGGGAAAAAGGAAGGTGAGGAAAGGAATAGCAGAATCCCAAAGGGATTGGAGAGGCAAAAAAAAAAGGTGGGAAAAGCTATTCCCTAGGGAAGGAAAGAGTTCCTTAATGACTTCTCTAGGAAACAAGGAATTCTTGAGGGCAGAAGGAATTCTGTAGGGAAGGTGAAACTCTAGGAAACAAGGAATTCCCTCAGGAACTCCAAGATTCCCTCAGGACTGACAGATCTCCTTGGGAATGAGGGAAGTAGAGGAGCAGCTGGAAAACCCCAGGATAAGATGGATCAAATCCCTCCAGGAGCTTTTTTCCCTCCTCCATTCCTTCCCACCCTGCGATCCAGGAGGGATCCTGGACGAATTCCTGGGATTCAGCAGCCTGAGGAATGACCAGATCCCAACTGGCCAGCTGCCAGCAGCAGGATATCCTTTTTTTCCTTTGGGAATCTCAGCTCTTTTCCAGCCAGTCTGGCCTCTTCCAGCTCTCGTTCCGTGGCTGCCAATTCCCGGGAAAGGGCCCCGGGAATACTCTGCTCCCGGTTCACCCAATCCAGAGCCATCTGGGCACGGATGTCGTCGTCCAGGGCACGGTGGGAATAGTGAGCCAGCACTTCCTGCCAGGAATGGCAACGTGGGGAAGGGAGGTCAGGGAGCAGCTGGATCAGGGAGGGGCAGGGAGCAGCTGGAATGGGTTGGGATACAGTTGGAATGGGCTGGGATACTCCTGGAGTGGGTTGGGATACTCTTGGAGTGGGTTGGGATACACCAGGAGTGGTTTGGGATACTCTTGGAGTGGGCTGGGATACACCAGGAGTGGTTTGGGATACTTTGGGATACACCTGGAGTAAGTTGGGATACTCCTGGAGTGGGCTGGGATACAGCTGGAGTGGGCTGGGATACACCTGGAGTGGGCTGGGATACTCTTGGAGTGGATTGGGATACTCTTGGAATGGGCTGGGATACACCTGGAATGAGCTGGGATACTCCTGGAGTGGTTTGGGATACACCTGGAGTAAGTTGGGATACTCTTGGAATGGGTTGGGATACAGCTGGAGTGGTTTGGGATACTCTTGGAATGGGCTGGGATACACCTGGAATGAGCTGGGATACTCCTGGAGTGGTTTGGGATACACCTGGAGTGGGTTGGGATACACCTGGAGTGGGTTGGGATACTCTTGGAATGGTTTGGGATACACCAGGAGTGGTTTGGGATACTCCAGGAGTGGCCTGGGATACTCCTGGAGTGGGCTGGGATAC